CTAACCCCCCCTGCAGCCAGCTAGAGCAGCTACTCTATTGCCATGTTCCTGAATTTTCTCCTAAGAGGTGCTACCAATTTTAGCAGTGGATCCATCTGTTATGCCGTCTTCTCTAAATCAGTCTTGATGTTAACATGCAGGCTGTTGGGCACACAGTTTAAGGTAGAAGGTAATGTAATTATCTTTTATTTGTCACATATTTTCCTCCTCTCTTAATAAATTAGTTTCTTAATGTTAGATGGTCATCTCCCTTAGATAGTGAATTATAACATCTATCCCATTGCAATTCTATGGCTCCATGTTATGGTGGTTTTATTATGGTTTATCTTAATATTTTACATCCTATATTGTAGTGTGTGTGTGTGTGTGTGTGTACACATACACACACAATGGTTTATTTAAACTAAATTTGTGTATGAGTGATTGCATGTTCTCTGGAGATGCCTTACGTGAAATAAAAATAGATGAATTGTAGTAGTGGTAGAATAAATAGGTAATGAAAAGCCCTGCTAAAAATAACAGTTTTATTAAAGGTTTTCTTTTGAACTTTCAGGTACCTCGTATCCATATCCTCAAACGCTCTCCTGAAGGAGCCCCTGTGCAAGTCTACGTCCCGGAAAATGGAGAAATCATTACTCAAGTTTAGAGGCTGCTAGACCCTGGAAGCATGAGCAGGAAGGCCCTTGTTTAGGAGGGGAAGAAGAGGCCTTAATTCAAGTCTTGACACGTTCTTGCATTTTGTGCTCCTCCTGTTTGGGAGAAACTTTGGGACTTGTTCTGCAAGCTATGTGAGACCATGTTCCTATGATGAATTGAAACAGTGTACTGATGACAACAGAATTTATGTTTCTTGTATTATATGAAATACAGATCAAATTAACCAGGGTTTGTCTGCCTATTTATTCTCTTAGGTCTGTGCTGGGAATAACTTTAGTGTGTCTGTAGATTACGAAAATGAAGTTAGTGTAGGATTTTTGTAGTCAGAGCTATTTCTGACTACAACTTACTTTCTAATGGAAGTAGAATGTACAGGTGAAACTAAAAAACTAGAATATCGCGCAAAAGTTAATTTATTTCAGTAATGCAACTTAAAAGTAAAACTAATATATGAGATAGATTCATTACATGCCAAACAAGATAGTTCAAGCCGTGATTTGTCCTAATTGACATGATTATGGCTTACAGCTCATGAAAACCCCAAATCCACAATCTCAGAAAATTAGAATATTGTGAAAAGGTTCAATATTCTAGGCTCAAAGTGTCCCACTCTAATCAGCTAATTAAGCCATAACACCTGCAAAGGGTTCCTGAGCCTTTAAATGGTCTCTCAGTCTGGTTCAGTAGGAATCACAATCATGGGAAAGACGGCTGACCTGACAGTTGTGCAGAAAACCATCATTGACACCCTCCATAAGGAGGGAAAGCCTCAAAAAGTAATTGCAAAAGAACTTGGATGTTCCCAAAGTGCTGTATCAAAGCACATTAATAGAAAGTTATGTGGAAGGGAAAAGTGTGGAAGAAAAAGGTGCACAAGCAGCAGGGATGACCGTAGCCTGGAGAAGAGTGTCAGGAAAAGGCCATTCAAAAGTGTTGGGGACTTTCACAGGAGTGGACTGAGGCTGGAGTCAGTGCATCAAGAGCCACCACACACAGACGGATCCTGCACATGGGCTTCAAATGTCATATTCCTCTTGTCAAGACGCTCCTGAACAACAAGCGATGTCAGAAGCGTCTTACCTGGGCTACAGAAAAACAGAACTGGTCTGTTGCTCAGTGGTCCAAAGTCCTCTTTTCTGACAAGAGCAACTTTTGCATCTTATTGGGAAACCAAGGACCCAGAGTCTGGAGGAAGAATGGAGAGGCACACACTGCAAGATGCTTGAAGTCCAGTGCGATGTTTCCACAGTTTGTGTTGATTTGGGGAGCCATGTCATCTGCTGGTGTTGGTTCACTGTGCTTCATTAAGTCCAGGGTCAACGCAGCCATCTACCAGGAGATTTTGGAGCACTTCATGCTTCCTTCCGCAGACGAGCTTTATGGGGATGCTGACTTCATTTTCCAGCAAGACTTGGCACTGCCCACACTGCCAAAAGCACCAAAACCTGGTTCAATGACCGTGGGATTACTGTGCTTGATTGGCCAGCAAACTCGCCTGACCTGAACCCCATAGAGAATCTATGGTGCATTGCCAACAGAAAGATGAGAGACATGAGACCGAACAATGCAGAAGAGCTGAAGGCTGCTATTGAAGCATCCTGGTCTTCCATAACACCCCAGCAATGCCACAGGCTGATAGCTTCCATGCCACGCTGCATTGAGGCAGTCATTGCTACAAAAGGGGCCCAAACCAAGTCCTGAATACATATGCATGCTTATACTTTTCAGAGGTCCGATATTATTCTATGTACAATCCTTGTTTTATTGATTGCATGTAATATTCTAATTTTCTGAGATTGTGGATTTGGGTTTTTCATGAGCTATAAGCCATAATCATCTCAATTATGACACATCAAGGCTTGAACTATCTTGCTTTGCATGTAATGAGTCTATCTCATATATTAGTTTCACCTTTTAAGTTGCATTACTGAAATAAGTGAACTTTTGCATGATATTCTAATTTTTCAAGTTTCACCTATATGTTTACCTATCCAAGTTCTTTCCCAATTACTGGATTTGTCTTTGTTCCTAACGAAAACTACCCAATGCAGCCAGTGGTCTGTCTGGGTGGACTTCATGCTCTGCTCTGTTATTCTGCCTTTCTTTAGACTAATGTAATTCACAAATCTGTGGACCTGTGTATGAATCCTTAATGGAATTTTAATGGAATCCTTTGATGGATTTTTTTAAATTAAAAAGAGGTCCATGTTGATGGATGAACTATAACATATCGCTCAACTTTTGTATGCAATCTTCATTAAATCATGGAAGCAGAGGGTTGCCTTTATAGAACAAATTGCATGTCACATAGTTGATAATCATCTAGCACTGAGCATCCAGACAATCCAGTTTTAATTTTTTTGCAGAAGAGATTGATTGATTTGTTGGCTGTAAGAAAACAAGTCGCTATTTACTGACCTCTTTTGCAAGAAACAAGATGATTTACACAAACACATATGTAGAGCATTACACTTATGGCCAGAAACTAGTCTTATAGGTTCATAAGGCAATTCAATAATAAACTCAGCAACCTTAGAGTTGAGCAACATATGTGTGGAGTAGCTAACCTGGGGTGATATGTGCTTAACTGGAAGCACCTGTTGGGCTGTTCTGTTCCAAAGATGGACTAAAACATGGTTCTTCTGGGTAGAAGTGGGTCAGGGAGGGGAGGAGCAGGAAAAAGCCAAGTTTGAAGTGCAAATTTGTGGTGGTAATGACAATATAAGAAGACAGAGAAGGGACTGGAAAGACCAAAAGCAGGTGGACCTGTGTCACATTGGAACTTTGTAATGGTAGCTGAGTGGAGGCAAGAGAAGGAGAGGGCAAAGTATACCATGTATAAACATTTACTCCACAATCCCCCTGAATGCCGTTTTAACAAACTTTGGGCAATGGAAATGTGGGTATTCTTTCTACCAATCCCCAACCAAAACAAAATATTTTTTCATTTATCATGGATCCCAACCAGAATATCCCCACTCCCAGCCCCCTGCAGTATTTTCTGTATATCCTTACAGCAAACTGTAGCTTATAAGGTGGAGATAAGTCTTAATTTTTATATCATTCCTACATTTAACTTGAGAGTTCTCAAGTTAATATTCAGCCCTTCTCAAAGGTATATACTACAGTTCTAAGTTTTGGTAAATTATTAGTACTGCCAACTATTTTCGTGTCAGTGTTCTATGCCTTTTGGCTTCATTCAAAGTAGAAATCAAGCTAAGGAAATGTTCAACCTATTTACATTATTTTAAAAAAATTGTCAGAAATACTCTGATGACTTGGTTGTCATTCAGATATGAAGGGGGAAAAAACGGAAGACAGGCTTCTGTTAGTAATTGTAATTTTATATAAGTATTAGAATTCAACATCTTCAAAAGTTGAATATTGGGGTATTTTTCTTACCCCAATTACTCTGATATAATATGTCAGAATTCAAACTTGTCCTGTCCATTTTTCAAAGTTTTGCCCACCACAAAGTGAAAACCAATAACTATGGAAAAAATCAATTAGTGATTCAGCCCAGCCTTTATTTCCCAGATCTCTGCAAAGTCTTTTGAACACTGAATAAATGATTTACAAAAGGCAATTTGTGTAACAATGGTTTTGAGCATCATGGTGCTGCTTCATTCTTAATCACTATAAATATTTTTGTATCATTCATCTCACTTTTCACACTCCTGGTTTTGTCTACTCAAGGAATAGTCTAGAAAACATTTAAAAAGTAGGATAATGAATAAGTCTTCTACCCTAGAATACAACTATTGTATTCGTCACTTGAAAATTGGGGGAGGGGGTAATTTTGCCTAAACACATGGATGTTATAAGGGGACAAAAGTTTGGGAAAGAGAAATGTATTTTTAAAGTTAATTTCTCTCCCTTCAAGGCAGAAAACTTTCCGGGCAAAGAATGAATGGAAAGGGATACTGGAGGATTGTGAGCTACTTTTATCAGATTAGGCCTGTGAACCTGAGGTTCTCCATGTCTGCTCAGGGCTATTTCCAAGTTCCTCGCTATTTTTAATCCTTGCATTTGTTCTGTAACAGTTCAGGGATCCAACTTCTCAAACCCACTAGCTTCTGTTTTATTTTTTTTAAAGATTTTGTATTAGCCTTTTAATGTAAAAACCAGACTTGGGATTTCAGTTGAATAAATTTATTACCAGGAGGAACAAAAACATTCATTGGAAAACCATGTACATCAGAAACTTTAAATAACTTACATTATTTACACAGAGGTATAAAATATTACATTGTATCCTTACATGCACACGCACGCACGCACACACACACATTCACACTTAATACCATTTTGCCAGATGACACAGCCCTCACAGAAGCCCCAGACAAGCACCAGTGTTTTCTATGGATAAAAACCCCGACCTTTCAGAATAAGGAAAGGCACCTGTTGTTTGAAACAAAATTTCAATCTGGTTACATCCAGGTATGCTGGGACTGCAAAACTAAAACCATCATCCCAGCCCTAGACTGAGGTGGCCGCTGTACATAATTGGTAGGCTTCTTAAAAGAGAGATTTAGCCTTAGGGGCAGCATGATAACATGTTCTAAAACATCCTTGCAGAGAGGCAAAACCATTATTAGTCTCATTAGTCTTATTACAGCAACTTGTCCAGTTCTTGAAAATTATGAGATTAAATGTCCATTGTTGCTTACTTGGTATCCTCTCAATTATGTGCTTCAAGTACAATCAACAATAGGGTAAATTATACTTATTAAACCCAAGAAATCAGCTCAATTCCCCTTCTGCTACATCCATGGGAGCAGAAGTAGTAAAGGAGGCAAGGTTCACCCTCCCCTCCCCAAAAAATAACATGGTGAGAATAACATGGTGCCAAAGGACAAGCAAGCAAGAGCCACGCAAGACTCTATGGCAAATATGGGCAGTAATTCAAGAAGGAGTGTGTGGCTTCCACCAGCTTTCCTTGAATCTGAGCTGGCCAACTGAGGGAAGACAGAAGCTAAAGCACAACTTCTGGAGGACCACAAATCACACAATCCTTTATTTAACCTATAAAAAGTATCCCCTGGCAGATTGAGTGAGACAAATACTATTATCTTTTGTAAGCTTCATATTCTTTGTTCTAAACAAATAATGTAAGTCAACGGAGAACGTTGAGCTAATTCACAATCTATTCAAAGATTTCTGCAGACAAAACATTCAAAGGGGACCACAAACTTCAGTAAATAGAAAAAAAAAAACAAATTGGGTTCCATGTGCAGAAATAAAGATTGTGCTGTTTTTGTGGAAGATCTTCCAATCTTGGAATCGTATGACCCACATCCCCACTCAGTTTAGAATGTGGAGTTAAGATAAGACTGCAAAAGACACCAAGGTGCAGTAAACAAAGTACAGCCTTAATATGTAAATGCTCCCTCTGAGATTACACAGAGGCCAGCTTCCTTTCATCATACTTTCCTCTTGAGCTTAGAAATTGGGACCAGTGATACTGTGCATTTCCCAGATCAATTCAAGTTCTATTAACAACAAAAAAATAAAATGAGAAAACACCTTGGACCATGAGGTAGGTTAACTCAAAACAAGCTCTCACCCTCTTAAAATCTCAATCATACACCTCTCCCTGCTCCCCCCCCCTTCACCCCCAATTGCACAAGACAAAACACAGAATCATTTGAACACCTATTTAGAATTACAATACAATGTTCCACTTGGATGGAAGATTCAGCAGCTTAAGTGTAGAGAAAGGGATTTTCATAACACAAATGAATGGACAGAATTCCAACCTAATCCAGGGCAGTAGAACAAAGACTCCTACAAACTAAAAGCAGAGCTGTAGAATGGTCCAAAGCATTTGGAAAGCAAATTGCTTTAACCTGCTGGTCCATATTTCCCTACTAGCAAATGGCTTTCCCAAGCCTGCTGCTGAGTGATCCGCTTAAATCCTTGGTCCTCTGATGGAAGAGTACAACGCAAGTTAAAAGTTTAAGGATGAATCCTATAACAATGTGAAGAGTGCTTGATCAATCAATCCTTCAGAGAGGCTTGGATAGCCCTGCTACATTGCACACAGATGAAAGCTTCCCCCACATAGTGATGGATCTCCAAGGGCTTAAGCCAATGTTTGCTGCTAAAAATCAAGTGCAGTGAATAATATCCTGTGAAAAATTCAAGTTTCTAAACACAGAGCATCAACTTTTATCCGTTTGCTCCTTATTGTGACATGGGAATGTGAATGTATGAAAAAAAGATGTAAACAACAAAAAAGATGCTGGGGGTGAGATTAAGAGAGGCAGGCTTATTATCTCCCCAGAAATACAGGAATGCATTGCAACACCCTTGTGCTTAGCAATTCAAATCTTCCTTACCCTGTTTGAAAGCTGGAAGGGAAGGTTCCACATTTTTTCTGTTCCCAGACAAAGGAGAAGACAAAATGTCCTCTTTCCTGTGATAGGGGACAGTTGATTTCTGCAGTCAATGCCATTTTGTTACCGAAAAACAGTAATTTGAGAATGGGAAGAGAAAGTGGCATGTCCAGGCTACTTCTTTGCTGGAAATGTCGAATGATGGCATGAAGGAGAATCCTAAATGTATTTAATCAGTTTAGGTCTCTCTCTTTCTTGTTGCTTATCTAACATTTAGAAAAGATAACTGGTATTTAGGAAACAACTACTCTTCTGAAGGTATCAAAGTTCATCAGATCAGTTACTAAATATATTGCTCTGTTTAATACATAGTTGTCTTTTTTCTTTTAATACTGTCATTCCAGGAATCTGAGGTTGATTTCAAATGAAATAGAAAATATCTGGGCAATTCTATAGTGACCACTGAGAAACACTACCTTATGTGCTCAAATTAAAGTGGCTCATTTTCTTGCATGCTCCTCCAATCCTTTCCCCTTTCAAAAAGAAAACAAATAGCAATTCACAGGTACAAGTAAGAAATAAAAGTCAGTACTTCATAAATCCCCTTGAAAGACCAACCAGAACAAGAAATACTTCTTAAAACATAACAATCTATCCAGGAAGGAACTTGTAACCCTTGATTTTCTCTCTAATTATTTTCATTGTAATGTCTTAAGGGCATAAGCAGGATATAGGCAGTCCCTGGAGAGCTGGAAATCATGGGGAAGCCTCATTTAATTATACTAGGTTGAAAAATCTAATTTTGATTTATGAAATATTTTGACTCCTTTTTTCCCCAAATACCCTATTTTGTAGACTTGTCAGATGGATTCTGACTGAAAGAACCTCAGCACCAAATTTTGACTTCTTTTTTGGCTCTATTTTACAATGGCTGCCACCATCGACATCTGACAAGCAAGGAGAATTGAACATATAAACAGAAAAGGAGACTTCCTTCACCCTCTCCAACCCATGTACTTGTCAGAAAACCAGGCAGCTACCTCATCCTAAAGCCCTGGGTTTGAGAATATTAAACACTACTTCCTAGCCATGTTCCATCTTAGTCTTCTTAAGACCATAGCTGTTTTTTCTCAACTTCTAGGTTGTGCAGTTCAGTAGCTTCCTCGCACTCCAGAGCTTCACTGTGCAGTCACTGGGAATAAACGTAAAAGGATAAGAATGTGAGGAATATCAGTAAAAAAGCAAAGCTTGTGCATTTGAAACCAAAGCATTACATGAACTGAGAAACAGAAAAAAACTGAAAGCCAAATTACCTATTACATTAAATGTACTTTAAAATGGTATATTTTAAAATGGCATACCAGCACATTTTCATTTGGAAAGAAAAGAACTACAGGGGCACCTATCTGAGTCATTTGGTGCTTTCCTGATATAAGCTATCGTTCTGCTTATCCCCAATATTTTCTATTTCTCCCTGAAGATGCCATTTTATTCCGAATTGCAACTCCGGTAGTAAATGAGATTTGGCAGGTCTGAAGATAATTTAACCCTGCCCCAATATAACTGCTTTTCCTTCAACACAAAAATGACTAACTTAAGCTTAGTTTTATAAAACAGGTTCAATAAAACATATTTTACATTAGTTTGGACACTATTATTTTAATCTGCCTAGTAGAGAGGTTTTAGGTCTCTCCCAAAGGCCTAGAAACTACTCTTGAGGTCATTATCCTATTCTGACACATGTGTGTGGAAGGGAGGGGGGGGGGGGGGCAGAGATCTTCATTTTTAAACTAGATTTCTACTCCATATTTCCTCCAGAAAATCCAGATGGCTTACTGAGGGCCTTTCATTCGCTTTATCCTCTCAGCAACAGGTTGGGCTGAGAGAGAGTGTGAGTGACCCAAAGTCACTCAGGGAGCTTACAAACCTGAGGGTGGTTTGAATTTATATCTCCACATTTTCATTGCTATATCACTCTGACTGGTCCTCATACTGCAAAAACCAAAGGCAGTGAATTGGAAGTACCTCACTGGAATCCAACTGACCCTCAACATCCTAACCTTGTACTGATTTTACTAGGAACAAGTTTACACTTATTTTAGTGGGACAGGTTTCCAAATAAAGCACAGATCACTTGACATTGGAACCAAATTGGCAAAGTTAGGGAAGAATAGAAGGTGCATTTAAAAGGATGTCCATTTAGGAGGTAAAATAAGGAGTGAATTCTCCCTTAGAAGACACCTTCACTTACTGCCCCTCCAATGGAAAGAAAAGCAAGTAAGCATTGCATACCGTCAAGAAGCAGCTGAAATCAGCTCCCAGAGAGAGGGACAGGGAAGACAAAGAGAGGCAGGGAGGGAGAACACAGCAAGAGAAAGCAAGCAGGAGAGTAGAGAAGGAGGAGGAAGATCAAGGCAGACTGGTGGCACGGCCCTTGATGGCAAGGACGCGTCGTGGAAGGCAGGGGGTGAGCCCAGGCACGTAATTCCATAACTTTACCCGACAGTCACTGTGGCACAGAGAAAGAGAAACAGAAAGAGAAGGAGAAGAAGAGGAGAAAAAGGAAAACAGAAAAGGGAAAAAAAGAAACACGGTCGGAAAAGTGGAGATCAGAGATTGCCTTAGGGAAGAAAGTGAATGATGTATTCTTGGTCGCCCTCCCAGGAGATGCACTTCTGCCAAGCATTGAGTGCTTGCTCGTTTTCCAACCCCAGCTTTGCCAGAATCATGTCTTATAATGGCAGGTTACCAAGACTCCCCACTGCTACGCTCCTGGTTTCTGAATATATACAGAAAAAACATTTAAAATTGCCTTAATCAAGTACGCATTGACTGACTCAGTAAGATATTCAAATAGCAATACTAGGGTTTCTTTTGGGGATCATTGAAGGTGGATATTCACTCATAATGGTATTATATGAAGAAGCTATAAACAAAACAACTCTCACAAAAAAACCTCTTTTTTGGTTTAAAGATGAACAGTCTATGGCTGCAGCATTATATAGAAAGTGGCATTTGATGAACAGTCATTCATTCACTCGTGGCTCCTTTGGTTCCCTCCCTCAGTCGGGCATTTGGGCTCTAATGAAGCAATATTATCTTGAACAGGTCAATTATACATCATGGGATCAAGAAGGCAAAATCTTTTGGAACCCTTCCCTGGATATAATAGGGCTCTACTTAAACACTCACCTGGAAGCTGTGAAAATGTGCTTTGAATTTGTGCAGATGGCATTGATAGGACTATCATGCCCCTTGATGTCCCCAACAGGTGTGAAGTTATCAACGTTCCAAACCTTCACTGTTCCACCACGGCAGGCACTCAGCAGCATTGGCCGGCTGGGCACAAAGGCCAAAGCACAAACCCAATCTTTATGTGCAGGGATTTGCTGGAAGCAGGAATATAGTAAATCAGAAAGGGTCCAAGTCTTGTCATAATAGCTAATTAAAGGAAGGAAATTATTGGATTAAGTAACTCAGTTGACTACTTTGAACTAAGAGGTATTTGTTTATCTTTTCATAATTTTTTCCAAGATTTTAAAGATCAGTGATACAGAAAAGATGTGCTAAGGCTCTAACTATACCCTGAAAATGCACTAACTAACTATTAATCGAATTGTCCCTGAAATAGTATAGCATCCTTTAATGAAAGGAATATTTTCTCCATTACAATTACATAAGCATTTTTCAAATCTGTTCTTGAAAATTGGGTGACCCTACAACTGGCCCTACTGCACAACTATATGTGGGGGGAAGAAGTGTGTCAGAAAGGGCCATTAGACATAAGGTAGTTCATTCCTACGATGCTGGATATAATTTTGTACATTAGTACAAATTAAATTCCACTAATACATGATATCTTCAACATTAGCTATAGCCTAAACATCTGATTTCTCTCACTGCCTTTCCAAGGTTAATTCTCCCCCTCTTTTATTGCCCAATGATAGCAGTTTAATGCTTTCATACCTGGATGAGCTCTTGTTGTTCCAAGTCCCATTTCTTGATCCCATTGTCACGGGAACCACTGAAGAGTATGTCTCCCTGAATAGCTAGGCACTCAATCCCATCGTAATGTGGAGGCTCAAAGTTGTGGGAAGGTCCAATGTTCCCACCAACACCTTCAGCAATCTCAAACATCTGCAAAGTAGAACTTCTTAGCCAAAAGAGTAGCTAATCAAGGACCACTGTTCAAGTTCAAGATGCTTTAAGCCTTGGGCTCAGTATGGTACTTTACTGTTAAAGATGAAGGAACATTGAAAGAGGACTCTTTCTCAATATTAAATTTGAAACAGGAAGATTATATGCAATAATTTTGGAACCAGAGATGTGAGTTACCTGGTATTGGCTTAGTTTGGATCTTTTGCAGGGGTGGGCTTCAAAAATTCTGCCAGGTTGTGGAGTGGGCATTGGCAGCCTCCTGCACCACAGTGGGGAGGGGCATTTTTGCCTTTCCCAGGCTTTGGAGGCCAGAAATGGGCCCATTTTCGGCCTTCCAGAGGTTCTGGGAGGCCCAATTTTTGCCCTCCCTGAGCCTCCGCGCAGGCCCTGGGATCTAAAACAGTCTGCGTGGAGACTCCTGGGAAGAGCGGGGTGGGCGGGGCCAGCCAGTCATTGCAACTACCAGTTCGTCGAACCAGGTGTAAAATTAACATCTGGTTCGCATGAACCGGTGCGAACCAGTAGCAGCTCACCCGATCTTTTGTAAGAAATGTAGTGGGGAACTAAATGCAGTAATTCACTAGAAATAATGATTAAAATCACAGTTGTTGGATAGCTCCTACTTTTCAATTCATTTCTTTCCCAGGAATTTATATAAAGCCACATTGCAGGCAAATGCTAACTGTGAGACCAAGTAGAGTTTAATGGGATGGTTTATTTGCTCTTTAGTTATTTTTCATTTTTATTGCCTGAATGTGAACAGCCTCAGCTTTCCTGGATCAGAAATTCTCTTCTTTTCTAGAGATAGATAGATATGAGAGAGAGAGAGAGAGAGAGAGAGAGAGAGAGGGAGGGAGGGAGGGAGGGAGGGAGGGAGGGAGGGAGAGAGAGAGAGAGAGAGGGAGGGAGGGAGGGAGGGAGAGAGGCAGGCAGGCTGGCAGGCAAGAAAAGATATTTAAAAGGAGAGGAACCAGACTGTCAATAATATAGAATGTCCCTGAATATGCTAATAATACACTCAACAAAACTTAAATAATACCTTAATGTAGTGATCTTTAGATCCTGTGACCACTAAGTCATGATTACTTGCAGTCCTATTCACTGTGAGACACATCACAGGGCCAATGTGACCTGTCAGCTTTCCAATAGGCTGAAACCTATTGAACATATAAATAAGCCAATCAATATCCAAACACTACAACAGTGATCAAAGCATTGTAGACAGATTTTATCTGAGAAAAAGTGCTCTTTTGCCCCTTCTCTGTACTGGCAACCCCAGCATGCACATTCTCTGAAACATAAAGGGATGACCATATGCTTCAGTAACTTTTTGTCACTCTCTTCTTAGCTTTCTCATATATTTGCAACCACTTGTATACTGTGGGCAGTCCCAGGAGTTGCTGATTGCTTATCTTGCTGTACAATTTGTATGACTCTCATATTGTCCCACATTACATCTCTCACTGTCCCCATTAACTGGGGATGATATGTATAGAAAATCATAAAATCATAGGATTGGAAGGGACCTCGGAGTTCTTCTACTCCAACCCCTTGCTCAAGGCAGGAGCTCTATACCATCCTAGTCAAATGATTGTCCAGTCTATTCTTGAGAATCTCCAGTAATGAAGCATCCGCAACTCTGGGAAGGAAGGTATACTCCAGTGCACTACAGGACACAGGTTAAAGAAATGCTTTCTGTTTTCTTTCTGACCTGTTCAGCTCCCAAATGCGGACAAAATTGCCAGTGGCTGCGTAAAGCATAGTGCCTGTGGGATTAAGTGCAATCTGATTGATCTGGTGCTCGCCTTGCACGCTGGTGATAGTCCGGGTAGTGGTCCCAGCACAGGCATCTCCAGTGATCACCTGGCCTGAAGAGCTAGTGGACACAGAGAGAGGAAGGGTCTGAAACATAAAATGTATCTGACAAAGGTACGGGTGGGGTTCAATGAGAAAACAGTAGAGGTTTGCCCTTCCAAGCGACTATTTCATTGCAGGCTATTTCATCAACAACAGAATAGAATCCCCATTGATTTATACACTACAAACTCGCGTAACTAGAATAAATTTCTCAATCTTACTTGTCTTACTCACAATTTCACTCAATCTTACAATTATAGCTAACTGCAGCTGCAAAAACAAAAAGTAACTCATAGCTTAAACTTGCTTTCTTTCTGGTATCTTCCTCTGCAATAAGGATTAATTAACCCATGCGATGAGAGCCAACAAAGGGTTTATACAAGATCAGAATTTACTCTTTTCTTCTTAGCTGGCTTAAGAAAGCCAAATTTCATGTGATATGAGTCAGATGGTTATACACTGGGTTTGTTAGACTCCATCTTCCACAATATTCATTCAGCGCATTCATGGGACTTTCTAGCTGGGAAATCTGGTATGTGTATTTCTCCTACGTCCTAAGAGCATAGCGGATCTTGGGAAAAATGATGGTAAAGCATGCAATGCAGTGATTACTTACGTGAGAGTACGGATGCACTTTGCAGAATCACGGATATCCCATACTTTGATGTAAGAGGTAGAGACTGTGAATACCAGGCCTGAGTCACTGCAGTATTTTATGGAGACTACGTTATTTGGATGACCTTTCAAAGATGCAATTTCCTGTCCTGTCACTAAGTTCCACATTTTGCAACTCCGATCTTTGGGAAAGGAAAGAGAGCTGAATTAGAATGGCTTCTTCTTCTCTGTTGAGAAAAGAAACCACTAGTCTCTAGTAAACTATAAGGTTATCTTGAGGCGTGCACAAAAAACCATGGAAACCATCACTACTGATTGGTCCAAGAGACACATGTTCTTCTTAACCTGGATTCTGAAACTGTATAGGTGACTCTGAAAATGTATCCGCAAAAAAGGTGGGTTATGATGTGTATTGATAGCTATCATAATAGACATATGGTCCCCACAAAGAAACCACTCAAATATCTCTCCCCTTAGAACACAGGTGTCAAACTCGTGACGTCACGTTGTTGTCATGGGACATATTGCGATTTTCCCCCTCTTTGCTAACCCAGGGGGTGCGTGGCCAGCATGTGATGTATTCAGCCCACGGGCCTTGAGTTTGACATCCCTGCTTGAGAACATGTGCGTAGCATTATTCATCCTTCCAGCATCTAGGTCATCAAAACCAGACAAGCATACCTTTGGATCCAGAAAATAACAATTCATCAGTAGCATCTAAGCACAATACTGGCTTGGTGTGTCCTTCAGCCACAGAAATGCATTGCAGTGGTGCTGTCCGGGCACTCCTGGAACCTCCCACAGGGTTAATGATCCCCCTTGCATGGAAGAAAGAAAACAGTTTAAAAGAGTGGAAGTACATGGTCTAAGTAGAAAAAAATGAAACTTCTGATGTATGAAACTGTGAACGATATCAGTGAATATTGTGGGCCCAATTGGCAAAAGAAAGCTCAGGATTTGTATTGGTTGGAAACATGCGGAAGAGGCTTTCATCCTGCAGTAGATAGACAATGGCTAAAATGATGGTGATGAGTCTGATTCTACTCTACAGCAGCCACTTCACCAGTGAATATTGACATGCCAGAGAAGAATACCCTAAGATTGGCACTTTAGATCATCGCACATAGAGTGCTAACAACTATTACTTGGCCTTGCAATAAATAAAGTATTTAGAATGTGTTTAGGTTGTTAGAATGTAAAGATATCAATTTTGGGTTTTTGTTTTATTATGTACTGATGGAAGCAAATGAAGTAAAAAAAATTGTGATGCCATTCCATCACTGATTATTTCTGACTTTCCTGTTTATTACTGCTTTGAAAAGACTGAACTAAACATTACAGACCCAGAATGGCAACCTGTAACTGATATAGATTTATACGCCCAATCTCTCTCTCAAAAGCTCCCAGAAAGCACTGGCAAATTTTGAAATTCCACCACCAAGAAATAACAGCCCATTTTCCTAATGTTTTTGGTGGAAAATGACAAAAAATGGGTTCAAAAGCAAACACGTGTGGTTGAATCTTCATTTAAACATTTCAATTTAAATCTCATTTCTCTCCCTGCCCACAGAAATCCATCACTGTCCACTCTGAGTAATAGAATTGTGATTCTTCTACCCATTGCTCTCCTCTGATCCTCAAAACAGAAAAAAATGCCTAAAACTTGTCCTTCCCTGTTCTCTTCTTTTGCATCCCCTTTTCCATTCTGTACTAGGACTGAGAAACTGGCCAAAATTGGCTTCAACTCTGTGCTATAGATCAGGGGTCTCCAACCTTGGCAACTTTAAGCCTGGAGGACTTCAACTCCTAGAATTCTGGGAGTTGAATTCCTCCAGGCTTAAAGTTGCCAAGGTTGGAGACCCCTGCTATAGATGAACGAAATATACATTACCATGCTCTGGTGATGCTGTACATAGTGCAAAAACTGCATACAATTTTGTGACCAGAATAGAATATTCACAATAGGAGACTGGGATGTAATATGCAAATAAAAAAAGGCTTTTTTGTAACAACAATTTTGGCTTTAAAAGGTACCATTTGACTTTGGGGTTAAGGTGAAAAAAGGGAAATCCTGGATTCTGGCCCAGAAAAACAGATTTTTCTGGAATCCCTAGACAGGGAATAGGAATTGAAACTCATAGAAAATATATTCTCAATTTGCAAATAAAACAAGCATCATATTTTAATGTTTTTCACCTAAAGTTTTGTATGTGTGTATCTGTGTGAATGTTTCTCTATGTATATGTTTTGAGATACGTTGCTGATATAGTTCATGTGCAAATGGGCAGCTTCAATATCTTCAGCCTATGCCTAAGAACACTTATACCTAAGAATAGAAATTACATCGACAGGTTCATGTATCCATACAGTTTTCTTTGGTTACATTTTTCAGAAGTGGCTTGGCATTGTCTTCTTCCCAGAAATGAGATTGTCTAGCCCAAAGTCATCCAGTTAACTTCACACCTAAATCAGGGCTAGGACTCACAGTCTCTCTGCATTTAACCACTACAAAAAACTAGCTCTTAAGTAATCCTTAGGTGTACTGTGTTTCCTCAAAAATAAGACTGGGTCTTATTTAATATAAGACCCAATCTTATATTTTTTTTTCTCTCCAAAAGACACATTAGGTTTTATTTTCCATTTCGGTCTTATTGTTGGGAAAATACGGTACTAAATGCATCCGTCTGGCTGACTATCTTAACTGGGACTTATTTTGGGGGTAGGATTTATATTAGGAGCATCCTGAAAAATCATGCTATGGCTTATTTTCTGGTTGGGTCTTATTTTTGGGAAAACACGGTAGTAATATTAAAGTAGTATTCTCCCTTTTTTGTGATGCAATTCAAAGGCCTCCTGTTCTAGACTTGAGAGAAAATGTTGGTGCCCCTGCAGGGCACCCTTCCCATATACCTGGAACAGATCTGTGTTGCACGGTTATTTGCACAATTTTAATTATTAACATTCTGAAGGCTGTGATTGGGGTCCTTATTTGCTGAAATTCTAAACCTACTCAACATCATCCATCATGTGAAAAATGCTTCCAGTTGGCATGTATAATGCTTTTATTCAATTCACTGCAATTTTTCTTTCTTTTTTCTGCTGCATCATCAACTGAGTGAATGTTCTTGTTTAAATTCCTTAAAACTATCAACTGACTGCTGGCAGAAAAAAAAATGAGACTTTTGGCTGCCATTTAGGGGTAATCCTGATATGAGTAGCAGAGACTGAGATACAATTACTAGGTAAATTCCAAAGGTGCTTTTTCAAGAGGCGACTGGACTTTCTGGTTTTTCTTTGAAGACATTTTGCTTCTCATCCAAGAAGCTCAGAAACTCCAGTCGCCTCTTGAAAGAGCATATTAGGAACAACCATGACCTGGATGACTGAGAATCTCCATAGACACTTACTGGGTAAATGTTGTAGAGAGCTGGAGTTTGAGAATCAACTTTTTCATGTGGGAAGTGTAAATTATTATGTGAGAAAAAGAAAAAGAGGAACCAGGACTTCTCTAGAAGCAGCAGTCACTGGCTGCGGAAATATTGGAGTTGTCCTTTCCTTTACAATTTCATTTATCTGTGTTGAGCTAGACAGTTTTAAGGCTCCATGATCCTTAAGTTGACCTAAAAATGGCCACAGAAGCCCAAATCCCAGTAAGCCTCAAGTACTGTAGTGATGCAGAGCCCAAGTACTGACAGAATGGGAGGTCCCACAGCAGATCTGCAGAAGTTGGAGCCAAGCAGATTGCTGACTCCAATGCTCATTCATCCTCCTTAGATCATCCAGCTGGAAGGCTTAGAGCTGGACAAAAGGGGAAAACCATTTTGAAAACAGAGCACCTAAAGCTGTCTTCAGAATGCCTCAGATGACGATGAAGTATTGATGCTGGCACAAGGTTAGGTCCTCTGCAAATTGCTAGGACATCTTCATGCTAAGACAAGGAGCCTGTGTAAATGTGGCTAAAGTGTACAACATCTTATATTTTTCATGAATGTGCAGGCTAGAAATCACCACAGGCTAGCCAGCACCTAAGTTTCAATCAACAATTTAAGGGAGAGAGATATCCTTTCGCAAATAGGAAGGCATGATCACATGGGCACAGAAAAAAAGACTCAACCACAATCTCCTGGATAGGAAAAGCCTTTGCTCTTTTAAAAAGTAGGGGTAGAACTTGGGGAAGAAAGGGCCAGAAGCTGTGTGGAGAAAAGGAGAAACATATCATTGTTCTTCTCAATTTTTTTTGATAAAAGTGGAATTTTTAGCAAAAAGAAATTTACAAGTAAGGGGGCAGAAGGAGTATTTGCTTACAAAGACCACTATTCCCTATAGGAATAGGAAAAATGGTATAGGTAGAAATATTTTATTTTTCTAAACAACTATAAGGAATTGGATCCAATTGTTCATGCATAGATCAGACATCTATTTAGAAACTTTCTTTAATTTGTATTATTAAATTGCACCATCTTCCATTTTATAAAAGAGATCATACCATTTGTAGCAGACCATTGCCATCTAGTGGTCTTTTGGATTTTTCCATTTAACTAGTCTGTCAGCTGCTGTATATTGTAAATTTGGGCAGCTATATAATCTGTTTCCTATAACATGAAATGTTTACAATTTAATATTCAAAGTTGACAAGTGATTTTTACATTTTCTCTCTTTTTAAAGTAGTTTCTTTTCCAAAAGGAGAGGATTAGAACAGTTGAAACTTCTAGTAATACACCTCTACGCTACAAGGCCTGGAGGTTTTACTATAGAAATCTTTTCATTTCCCCCAAATACGCCATGAGGGTAATAAATGTTTCCAAGCCCTATCTAGGCTTGGGTTAATGAGAGGATTCCAAATGAAGAATCCTGTGAAAGTAGGTGGAAGCAGCAATAGTTACAAAGCAGTTAAACTAAGGCAGGAGAAAAGGCCAGAAAGTGTATTCTTAGAAAGGATATTTGAAACTTTCAGTCTTTTACTCAAACTGCTATGGAGTTTGTCACCCATTGTTTTGGAGGGAAGTTTGGTGACTGCACTGCCTTCTGTTCTGCAGAACAGAAATAAGCGGAGGTTGGATAACGATCAACAAAGAAGATAACAACTTTTATATTGATATTGTCAGCTGACTCAACAATAGAAGGAGAGCCTGTCAACTCAGCAGAACCAAAAGGCTTTGGGGGCAAAAAAGACTGAAAGCTTCAGACACGTGCTGGTGGTTTAACTAGGACTTCCAGACAGGATGGAATTTTAACCCACTGCTGGCTGGTGATTTTCAACACATATAAGGAGGACAAATTTGGAAGAAATCATGTTACAGGTAGTCCTCGACTTACAACAGTTCATTTAGTTCCTGTTCAAAGTTACAATGGCATTGAAAAAAGTAACTTATTACCGTTTTTCACACATACAACCATTGCAGCTTCCTGATGGCCCTACGATCAAAATTCAGATGGTTGGCAACTGACTCGTATTTATGACTGTTGCAATGTCCCAGGTAAACACATTTTGCAACCTTCTGATCGGCAAAGTCAATGGAGAAGCCAGATTCATCCAACAACCGTGTTGCTAACCTAACACCTGCAGTGATTCACTTAACAACTGTGGCAAGAAAAGTCATAAAATGGGAGCAACATTCACTTAATGAAGTCCCATTTAGCAGAAATTTTAGGCTCAATTGTGGTCGTAAGTCAAAGACTATTCCAAGTCACAGGAAATGGGCCTGAAACATTCTTTAGTCAGATGGAGATATATTTAGCACTCAGAAAGTAGAAACGGAAGAAGGTAAGAAATACTACGTCAGGGTCTGGTGACATGCAGGTTTTAAATGCAGGAAGAGAAAATAGAATGGGAGGGGAAGAAAGAGGCCACAGGAGTTATATAATAAACAGTAAGTTTTATACCTCAACACCTCCGAGATAGAGGAATCACTGTCATCAGACCTAGGGATAGAAAATTAGCAGGATTATGGGTGATTAAAACCAGGAGAAAGAAAAGCAGCAGTATAAAGTCAGAAAGGGGAAGTTTGTTATTGCATCCAAGCTAGCAGGGCGGATAAAAAAGACAGCAGGCGGCAGACAGACAGGGCTCAGGAGCAGAAGGAGCATGAGCAGAAACCACCTGCCATTTGAATAAGTATTTTCTCACTCACCAAACCCTTGATATTATACGCAAAGTGAAACTGGCTTTAGGAAAAAGGAAATGAAAACTCTAATGATGTTAAATTATTGCACATATGTGGCTCTTCTGAGGATAAAGGCACCACACATACAGTGCTATCTACCAAGGTTTGTGGGTAACACCTAGCGGTCAACCTCCGAGCAAAGTCTATTGTGACTTCCGTACTTCCTCACGAGGACGTGATCACTGTGGTGTCAAATTCCCTCTACAAATGGCTGCCAATTATGTTTCTTGTATTGCTTTTATTTTTATTTGAAACTGCAATAGCCATTTAGGCTGAAGTTGATCTATGCTGGTCAAATTAGTTTAAAATACTAATGAAACATCACCAGTTTTTTGGTGCTACAATTCCTCTCTCCCTCCACCCTGATCTCAAGAGTACATAGGCCAGTATTTGAAAAGCTAAAAGCATACGAAACTCTGTTGTGAGATCTTGCCCTGTTAACAGAGCTAATTAACAGAGCTAATTGGAAGATCAGCACGACTCAAACCTATATTGAAAAAATAAACTTGAATCCTCTCAATATTCATGTGCAGAGTTTGGAAAATGAGATTCGTGGCTCTGGGAGGCTGCAGACAGGATTGGAAAGAGATTTCATGCTTCCTAGCAACCATCTAAATACACTGAAGAAATGCAGCCATCATTTAGCATTGGAGACATTATGGAATGTATAAAATTAGATGCTGGTCCTGGGTAGGAAAATGGTATAACAGCTATTTAGGTTTCTTACATATTTGGGGAAGTTCCAGGGAAACCTTGTCTGGTTGCTGTTAAATGTCCTGATTGCTGAAGCAGAGAGCTAACTCCAGCGCAAATGGAATGACATATCTTCAGGTTCCCCCTCAAAAACCAAACCAAAACAACAACCCAAAAGCAAAAAAACTAATGGTTTTCAGTATTGGGTAAAATGGAAAATTAGGAGAAACTTTTTTTTTAGTGCCAGCAGCTATAACCATAAATTCTTCTCTTTATCGTTGGGAAATGAAGCTCCTCCAAATCTCATAATCTTACTTGTCTAATGCAGAGCCCTGGCTCTGGTTGCTAGTGAGCCGAGAGAAGACATTGCGGTCATTGCGTGGTCTGCTGGGAGGGGATGAGGGAGGAGTGAATCCAACATCTGGATTTCTAGGCAAGAAAGAAAGATGTGATGATTTACGCTGATTGGAGGCTGGTTTGCTCCTTGCAAATCATCGCTCACCACTTTCAGATGCTCTTCCACCAAGCAAGTCAACTGGATGACAAGGAAAATAAAAGATATTGAGGGGGCCCTTCTTATGCCCTTACCTGATTGACTGGCCCCTGTCGTATGACTTCCTCCTTGTAAGGGGTGAAGTGTCTGCACCTCGGGACTGTCGAGGGCTAGAGAGGGGGGAAAAAACCAATAGAAAATATTATTTGCAAAATTCTCTTATTGAAATGAATGAAGTGTTAAACGCCTGGGGAATCATTTGCTTCAAAACGTTCCTAGTGTCAGGGAGGATAGACTGGATGTACATAATCTTCTTGCAGATGCAAAGGTTTTGATGAGGGAGCACATGGGAGCATAGAATCTCTTAAAACACTGTAAAAACAAATGTCAAGGAAATGAAATAGACTGGGTAATTCAATTTCAAGTACCTTCCATGTTTGCAAGATCCCTCAAATGTGCAGAAACATTTATATTTATTTTAGTACCTATTACTTATCCTTGCCAATTCATAACTGATGGAGACTAATATAGGTTACGTCATTTGTATAAACTAAGCTTTCTAAATGTTCAGCCGCCACATCCTGCAGGAAATGGTTCCTGCTCAGACTGCACAGTTCTTCAGTTCTGACTCTCAAAATGGGCTTTCAGAGCATATGGGGCATGAACAAAGCATGTGTCTGCAACTCTTTTAAAGCAGTTGCATCTTTTCCCAACATCCTGTGGCTGCTACTTGAAAGGAAAACTGTGGCTGCTTTGAAGCCTTGCAGGTAGGGATTGTGAGATGCTCTCTGAAGCACTTTTTTGTAATCAAAGCCAAAGCAAAGCTCCTACTTTCTCATTCGGACACTCTATATTTTTTATGTTTTTAAAATTTGAAAACTTAATAAAAAATTTTTTTTTAAAAAAAGGACACTCTATATTTTGAACCAGTATCAGGTGAAGCTGCTAGCTGACTAAGGATTATGAAAAGAATTTTGAGGTGATTTCATTAAAATGATGGCATCTAATGAACTGAAGACTTCTATGTTATTGTTAAAATTTCTGTAGTTTGCAGTCAACAAAAAGGTGATTCTGGCCTGAACTCAATACTCAGATCATTCCCTTCCCCTTGCCTGGTTATTTCTCTGGCTCACTAATTACTACCATCAAGAAAACCAAATTTTGGTTTGCTAAAAGGATGACTCATATGCAGTATTGATTTACACAAAAGAATGCTGAAGTATTGGGCTCCAAATTTTCAATCCAGTAGCATCTCCACTTCTCAACATGCAAGAGGTCATTGGCTCTATATCGCTGCCTCTATAAGAACCATGGTGGTGCAGTGGTTAGAATGCAGTGTTGCAGGCTCTGGCATTCCACTGCCAGGACTTCGATCCTGACCAGGTCAAGGTTGACTCAGCCTTCCATCCTTCTGGCGTTGGTAAAATGAGAATCCAGATTGTTGGGGGCAATATGATGGCTCTGTAAACCGCTTGGAGAGGGTTGTAAACACTATCAAGCGGTATATAAGTCTAAGTATTATTACTATCGCTATAACCAGGACTTACAATGTGCTCCCTCGGATAGGCAGGCTGATGGTACGGGAGACTTTTTCCTTATAATAAGGATCATGGATAGAGAATCCAACACTGTCCTCTTTGATTTCCATGAGAGACGCTAATGACTTGGTGATGTTCTTAGTGGAGATGTCCAGTGTGGGTCCTAGGCACTCCGCAGATACAGCTTTCATCTGACCAGACAGTTTAGGCTCTCCCTAAAACAAAGTCCCAAAATAATCAAGTCAAAAAAGGAGTGTTAATCAGCTACTCAGGCATTATTCCCTGCTGAATTTGTAACAATTCCTATTGGTTGATAAAATGTAGCCCAAGATTTAGATTTGAATTCAAGTAAGAGATATCCATAATGATCATCCTAAATTTTGTGGAAGGATGCAATGAGAGTCAAGAGATACAAAGACACTCAAGGAATTTTGGTCTAAAGACAATAAAGGAAAGGGACCTACAAATAGATAACGATAGATATTTAGTACTAATTATGATTTATGTACCATCCCAAACTAATGACTCTTGAGTGGTTCACAATTTAAAAAACAGTAAAATTCCCAAACACAGAAAGTCCATCAACTAAACATAAATGAACAGTAGGCTTACCAACTAATATCTAATTAAAAAAGAAAGCATATACCTGGCTATTAGGCCTTGAATGCTTGGTGGGACAGGTATATTTTAATATGTCACACAAACTATTCTCTGTTTAATTGAAGAGCAATCAGATGTTTACAAAGACACAAAACACCTATAGCCACATTGGCCAAATGCAGCTTTCAACTTACCCTGCACTTGAAGTCATCCTGACTAGCAGAACCTTTCATGAAGAAAGACTGGGAAAAGCTGCAGGACACAGAAAGAGATCTTTGGTACATGCAATTTTTATAGGAACCTATTGAGAATCCAAGTGAGACCAACCCTGAAGAGATTCCTCTAAGTGCAACACTCAGACTCTGATTTATTCCTGACACAAGCAGTCCATGCTGAATTGGATTTTTTTGTATAAAAAATAGAGCATAGGGATTCCTTGATGACTGTGAGCTGGTTCAATGGTCAACAAAAATAATTTCCATTTCTCCCATTTTTTAAAACCACACAGGGTTAAAAAAAAAAAGTTTTTTACACACACACACACACACATTTGCCTCTTGCTTTCTCTGAGGATACTCACCTTCCCTCTGAAGCCAAACTGAATTCTGAGATTTCCTCATCAGTGCTGGCATAGCCATTTTCTATGTAGAAAAGAAAGCAACATTTGGATCATATTCATCAGCACACAGACATAAGCACTGCTTCTGTATCAGAAACTTATCTAGGAAAATGTCTCTAGAGTATATCCAAAGGACACAAGAAGGTTGGCTTTAAATTTTTTAAAGTGAGCAACTTGGCAAAAAAACACTCATCTCCAATTTACAGAAGCAAAAGGACCACAAGCATGAACCCAGAACAAACACACTTTCAACTTAAAACGAGTCTTGCCACACGAACTGACTAATTCAGAGGTAAGTTTAAATGTTCAGTTCATGGTTGTACTCATCACATTAACAGCCTGGCTATTTCAAGTCTTTGTTATGTAGTGATTGTCCACAAAATAGTCCTTTTGTCACACAACAAGAAAGTTTTATAGGAGTGTGGCTATAGAAGAGCACTGCGGATAGGGGAATAACCAAACAGACCTTGCTGCACATTGTGAATGAGTGCCTGTAATTCAGGGTGGGATTCTGCTTTTTCTCGTAGGGCATCCAGAATATGATGGTTCTGAGAGGAGCCAGTCACATCTGTTTGTCTCAGACGTCCCTCCAGTAAGCGGATCTGAGCTTCCTTCTGGGCAACCTGCAGGCTCTATTTTCAGAGATTGGAAAATTAGATAAGAACTTGATCTCTCCGCAAGCTCTATTCTCAGCCATAAAGATGGCTATGTTTTTTTTTTTTTTAATTATTATTATTATTATTATTATTATTATTATTATTATTGCAATGGGATTCTGCATCTTGAAACGGGTTCTGGGACACAACCAGAAAACTGTAAACATAATATTCAGTCAGAGCTTTATTCTACTTATTAAAGTGTTTGGATAAAGCACAAGGACTAAAAAGAGTTTCACTGCAAATATATTTCAAAATATTAAAAATCTTACTTCATTCTAAATGCATTTTTCCAAGAATTCCATAGATAGATCAGATTAACATTGTAACCAATTACATTTGCTACTAGATTAGCTATACTTATCAATTGCTAGCAGGCATTCTTAACTTTGACTTACCTTGTCTATGGATGCTTTGAGAAAATTGTCCAATAAAAGTCGTGCTTCAGCCAAAGAGCAGGAGCTAATCACCACAGAGGTATCTGTAGAATCCAATTCTTCCTAGTAAGAAGAGACCCATAGGGAGAAGCAATAGAATGAGAAAGTCTGGGGATAGAACATTGTTTCACTGTCCAAATATTGGTTTTACTGGCCTTGATACCCTCTCAGTAATGTTGTGCATGAGTAGCCAATTTCAATTATTCATTCATCAAGTGAACCCACCGTGGACTACTAGAGCCTTCTCCCTGTTTTTTCTACAAGAGAATTCTTCTAGAGTACTAATGCTTTAATGTAAATAAATTATCAGACTGATAAAGATGTAATTCCACACTGAAAAAGAGAAAAATTCCAGGACTTTTCCAATTCTCTCAAGGATTTCATAAGGATTGTAAAACACAGTAATTCCTTAGTCTCTGTTCTTTCTAAGAACAAGGAGTCCGGCTTTCAGGCTCAAATTAATCTCTGGCTTGTACCTAAACTATGGAATCCCCCCCTCCCAAATCCCTTGCCTCAGATGGAAATGGGACACACCTTGGTCTCTTCAATCTGCATAATGGTGGCCTGGCAGTCAGAAATACTGTCATTTATGTAGTCAAGATTGGCAGCCAACACTTCAATCTCCTCATTCAATTCCTGCAATCCCTTCTGTTCTTCTGGGTTCTCAGCCTGTAGTTTCCCCCTCTTTCCTAGTAGGCCCTCCTGCATCAATGACAACTCCTCACGTTTCTGAAAGAAAGAAATAATTCAGTCATTCTGCTAGGCCACTGTTCTGCAACAAACTGCCCACAAGCCTTGCCTTCTATCCACCCTTCTGAGCCACCCCCCTTGTCACCTTGATAAGGCGCTCCATATCTGATTCCAGATTGATGACAGTCATTCTCTGCATGACAATATCAAAGACACGGCGTTCCAGAGACTGCCACTTCAGGCGGGCTGTCTTATTAAAAGTCTGATTTGCACCTTTCTTTGGGAATCTTTTCCTACAGAGGGAGATCACAAGCAAGAGGTGAGCAGCACAATCCTACCGTTATGCTAAATTCTCAGCCACGCTACTCCAAGTAGTTTTGAAGCAGAGGGTGGGAAACCATTCTTAATGTTACCAATAAGGAAACTATCATATTTTGGAGGCAATGTGCTGACTCTGTAAACCTCTTAGAGAGGGCTGTAAAGCACTGTAAAGCAGTATATAAGTCTAAGTGCTATTGCTAAGTGCTATCAGGAAAAGCCAAAGCTCCAGGAGGCAAACTTGGACTTGAAAAATATCAATATGTTCACTGATACCCACATATAATACACACACAAGCGTGCACTTTCTGACAGATCCCTTGAATAGCTTGAAATATAACCAAAGAATTAACACAGTATCTGACCTGATTGTCCGAGTTCCGTTTGAGGAAGAAGGAGAATCTCCCAGCAAAGCATTGGTTTTTCTATTCCACTGGCGTACAATGCTAGAGACAGAACGAGAACCTGATTCTGGCTCTAAGGAGGTGATAGTGCTGGTGGAGACTTCAGCACCGGGCTCTCCCATGGTTTGTTTCTGGTTAATCCTCCCAGCTACCCTATCAGTCATAGGTTTGGCTAGACGACGCAAAGCGGAGACCTGGAAAGCCAGAAGAAGAAGAAAAAAGTCCTGACAAATAGAAATATGAAAATAGGTTCAGGCATCAGTTTCAGGAGAAGAATCAAAAGTGATTCCAGCGATCTCCAATAATAGCCCCAAACTGGAAGGGAAATGGATCAGGACAAAGGCAGCTAAATTCAGGGAAGAATTTTTTCCCAAGTAACAAGGTTTTTGAGATACATTGCAAAATGATGCAAAATGCCAGACATTATCTATAATAATCAAGCTCAAATTATCTAAGCTAAAACCCAATTTAGCAACTTCACTAATCAAGTGATGTGCTCAGAAATTACAGATTTGTCTGGATAAACAAAAACTGTAATTCCGTTTAATACATTTACATGCTCAAAAGGTACATTTGGGGTCTCGCTCTCGCACTCTATGCAGAGTTCCCGTGATTCATAAGCATTTTCCTTGATTCGTTACCTGAGATTTCAGTTTCAATGGCTGTGTGTGATTGGTCCAACAAACCCCACTCAAGGAACCCACACATATTATCCAAGTACAAGGAGATATTTCCAAAGTTGCAGACTGGCAAGGACTTTTTTTTAAAAAGCAGAGATTTATCATTTGCTATCCTTGTGCATCCTAAGCCTGCACCTCACCTCTTGGGTTTTCCTGCGCAAGACGATCTCCTGCTGTCGCTTCTGAGATTCCAGAGTTCGGATTTGATACTGCAAGAACAATGAGAAAAAATATTGATAACATCCCACAATGGAGCATCCAGGAAATCAACTTTCCTTAGGATGCTTCACTGATTGCTCTGATAAAGCTCTTAAGAATATCTTAATATATGTCCGTTAGGATTGTCCAAATGCTTCCTGTTGCAGTCCAATGGGATTTATGGATAGAAAGTAACAACATGATTATTGATCAAGAATTAATAGATAAAATTTATATACAGCCTACAGAAACCATAGATTATAAAATGGGAAAACTCTGGTTTCAAACTTTCATCGCATTTTTTCCTTAAGATCTAATCTTACTCTTGTAGCACTGTTGGGAATATCAGTGCCTCTTCTAGCAATTATTTTCTAAGGCTGTCAGGAGTTCCTCTAATTGAAACCCCAGCTCCAAAAATATAAAAATAAAATAAAATCCCTGAAGTTTAACTCCCTACTCTTATTCAGCTGTTGTATGGTAGACCATCTGGAGAGGGGAAAGCTATCCAAGACAGTATGGATTTTTTTAATGGAGCATTTGGAATTGCTTTGTTTTCTTTCTTGTTCATTTTTAAAAGTGGTTAAAATATTTAAACATGCTTAAAATGTTACATTGTGGATTGTATTGGGTCCTTCAGCAGAAAATATCAAAATCAAAAGTTCAGGATTCTCATTAGATTCCAATTCCATATTGGATGTTAAACCAATATTTTTGTTTATAATATTGTATATTTTTAAGTTTACACCTCACTTTTCCATTGTTAATTGTGATATATTCTAATATAAAATTATGTAAAATATAACCATAATTTATTTAGGCTTCATCTTCTACAATGGCCCCTTTCTGAATGACTACATATAGTGTAGAGATATATTTCTATGGAATAATTTACTGATGTAGATATTATGGAAACACAGCTTTATGTATGCACATAACTTAAACTACTTATGGAATGTATAAAGGAGGAGAAGCAGCACTATGTTAATTCTACATAAGCCTCCAATACTTATGGATCTTCTGCCTATATCTTCAATATCTACATCAATGTAGTACAGTCAAAGTTGTAGGGCCTAATAAATTCAGACAGACATCAAATCAGAACTTCCCTTTCAATTCATTCTCCTCTCTCTCTTCCACCCATATCACATCTTTAACCAACTCTACTAAAAAAGGTCCCAAAGCTGGAAACGTTGGAGAATAGGGGGAAAAATGTTCTTGTTCACCTCTTGCCTACGTTGCTCTTTCTTCAACTGGGCAATCTCCCGGTTCCGCTTGGTCTCCATCATTCGCCGTCTTTGTTGCTCTTCACGCATTTGTTTCATTAGTGCTACCTATAAATAACAGTCATACCTCAACTCAATTAATACTGATAATGAAGAAGACAGTCTTGGCAAAACAACAAATGTAACTAACTAGAGAATACAAATAGTCTGAATTGGTATCGATATAGGGCCAAGATACTGTCAAGGTAGGTGTGTGGTTTGTACCGAGATGACAAATGTCTGCTGGAACAGCAAGATAAACAGCTGATAACAAGTTACTAACTGTTGGCCTGATTGAACCTCACTGAACCATTCAGAAAATAAAAATGATGCAAGATTCTCCGTATAAAAGCATGGATAAAAAAGAGAGACAGAGAGAGATCATGTTTTGCCATTTATATTGTTCAACATTATACTCTTTGACTCTGGCCTATGTCCAGTATAGTCATGAGGGAAACACACAAACAGACTCTCTCTCAAACACAAAAAGGCACGTCTGAATTACCTTTGCTTTCTTCATCTCTGCTACTTCTGCCTGCAGCTTCTTCAGCTCTCGTTCATATCGAGACTGGTTCTTGAGAAGGCGAGCGTGCTCCTTCTGGGCAGCCTGCAACTTCTGCAGGTCACGATTCATCTCCCTTAAACGTTTCTCATAATCTGCTTTAATTTTGTTAGCCTTCTCTTCTGTATAGCATTCCATACTACCTGAGAAGAGGAAAAAAAAACAAAGCAAAAGGAAAAAAAAACCTCATATCAAGGGACTGTGCTTGGAGCAGTTTCTGAGAAGGCAGTAATGGAATCGAAACATAATACAAATTAAGACAAACCTAGGGAGATTTTTTCAAACAGATCTAAACTACTGCAACCATATTTGAGGACCCAAAAAGCATTACATTCCTGACACTCTTCTTACACAACTAAAGTATATAACTAGTAACTAAATTAAATCCTACAGTCTCCCCAAACCATAGGAATCAGAATCACAGTTCAGGAAGAATACAAGAATACTTCCCAGGAACGTACCTATTCAGAGAGCAACAAGGCACTTTATGACTGACTTTTTCTCCCAAACCACTAAAGCAGTAATTATCACGCTAATACAAGGAATTGAGGTCATCTCCCAAGCCTTACTTGGGGAAGCGTTCAATTCATGCAACCTTTATCATATTCTGAAATGGCACATTCCTGGGAATGTATAGTAGTGCAGTAGTTATAATAGAGTTTCTGAATCTATAGATCAGCTTTCAATCATTAAAACCTAATAATAGACAGGAAACAAAAAGCATATATTTTGAAGGAGATGGGGTTTAGACAGATATAAAACTTAAACTTATCTTTCTGGTGTTCTCTCATCTGGCTACATAACATTTGATCATTTTGAGAGTAAGCTTTGAGTGACACATTGCAAATTATGAGTTAGCATGTTGTGCATACCTAGTTATTGTGATTTCTCAGCAACAATTTACGGGAATTAAGATTATGGACAAACCACATCACTGCAATTAAAACAAATCATGATGTGACATAAAGTGTAAATCTAATCAAAAATTTACTCAAGTTTGAGATTCAGATAGTTCTTGTGCATTCAAACCATAGCTTTGATTGTGCATTCAGATAAAAAGCCTTTCAATACCAGAACAATGCAAGCAGATTCACCGATCAACCTATAAAAACCCAATTTTCCCCAACCAGTAAGCCCTTACTGAGATTCTGCAGCACCCTGTCTCTCTCCTGCTGGGTGTCACGGATCTTGTTCTGCAGCAATATCAACTTTTCCTCATACTGATGCTTCAAGGTTTGTAGGCGCCGTTGGCTGTTCTCCAGTTCATCAATTAATTTCTGTTTGATCTCAATCTCACAGGTCAAGTCAGCCAGATCAGCTTGGAAATTTGCTGCTAAATAAATCGGAATAAAAAGATACAAATAAATGTTACCATAAAACCTGCCATGATCTTGCACCCCAGGCAATCTTCTGATTAAAGTCATATTTTCTCCATCAATATGCATGTTACACGAATCAATCTATCTATCTATCTATCTATCTATCTATCTATCTATCTATCTATCTATCTATCTATCTATCTATCTATCTATC